ACCCATGCATATATCCATGATCATTTACATCAGAAGTGATCTATATAATTTACACTAGAAATTTTTACCTTTTAGGAAATATAACTACTCATACTTTTTTATTTTGTCATATGTCTCTCTTAAAAGTATAATATAGGCTGTGCGTGGTGGCTCACACCTGTAATCCTAGCACTCTGGGAGGCTAAGGCAGGAGGATCGTTCGAGCTCAGGAGTTTGAGATCAGCCCGAGCAGGAGCGAGACCCTCATCTCTACTAAAAAATAGAAATTAGCTGGACAACTAATTTTATATATATATGCCAGTCATGGTGGTATATGCCTGTAGTCCCAGTCACTTGGGAGGCTGAGGCAGAAGGATTGTTCGAGCCCAGGAGTTTGAGGTTGCTGTAAGCTACGCTGATACCACGGCACTCTAGTCTAGGCAACAGAGTGAGACTTTGTCTCAAAAAAAAGTGTAATATAAATCAATTAGTTTTGCACCACATGTACTCACCAGTGAATTGGTATTAACAGATCAACACTTAAGTGGACATATAGAAATAACATTTATTGGGTGTCGGGCAGGTGGGAGGGGGGAGGAGGGGATGGGTATATACAAACATAATGAGATGTGAAATGTTTGGGGGATGGTCACGCTTGAAGCTCTGACTCGAGGGGGGAGGGAAGGCATGGGCAATATACGTAACCTTAACATATGTGCCCCCATAATATGCTGAAATAATAAATAAATGAATGGAAGAATAAACAAAAATAATATAAATCAATTAGCTTTGAATTTAGACCACAGGAAAACTCAGGGTCCCCTTTTTTCTGTTACTTATTTGGACCTCAAATATATGCAAACCTAACACTAACATTTCTCATTTCCACTGCCCTCAAATTAATGCCTCTTTTGCTTTGATAAAAATGTTATAGTCTAAGGTAATGAAAGATAACGTAATGCATGAATATGATGAACGTTCTATCCTACTAATTATAAAAATAGGAAGAATACTAACAGTGAACTTTTTCCTTCTTTTGTTGTTTTTTCTGAGACAGTGTCTCACTCCATTGCCCTGGGTAGAGTGCAGTGGCGTCTCATAGCTTACTGCAACCTCAAACTCCGGGGCTCAATGGATTCTCCTGCCTCAGCCTTCCAAGTAGCTGGGACTATAGGCGCCCATGACACCTGGCTAAGTTTTCTATTTCAGTAGAGGCGGGCTCTTGCTCTTGCTTGGGCTAGTCTCCAACTCCTGAGCTCAAGTGATCCTCCTGCCTCGGCCTCCCAGAGTGCTAGAATTACAGACCAGACGTGAACCACAACACCCCACCAACAGCTAACTTTTAATGAGAGCTATGTGCCAGGATAAATTCTCTGAATGCATTTTCTCATTAATCCTCACAACACATGTATATAAGGTAAAGAGACTATTTTTTAAAAAAGAAAATTAGGGCTAGCTTTTGTTTATATCATACTTTTGAGATCCTCACCTGAATCACCAGCACATCACTGAGAGGAAGGGCTGAGAGGAAGCCAGATCGTCCTGAGCCTCAGTTTCCCTATCAGGTTATACAACTGTGCCATTCTTTATTCTTGGCATTTTCCTATGGTTCCAAAAAAGTGTTGACAATTTTCTGCATCTATAACATTTTGGATGAGCAACTTCCATCTTATTGTGTTCCCTCACATATGGTGCTCTTGCTTAAATAGCACTGGTATTTTTAACTTGCACAATATTAGTAACTACTTTGAATTATACTTTGTTGACAAGTATCCAAGCTACTTGTCACAAATGAGAAAATTACATGTATTATTTAGGCTAGTGAGTTCATTGATTTTTTTCCAGACATAAATTTCCCAATAGAATCACTGTAATTTATACCTGGAAGAGATCATAAGGATTGTCTAAAGCTACCTCTTTTTTATAAGTAAAAATCTACAGCACAAAGAAGTTTTTCTCCCAACTCAGATGGCAGTAAAAACCACTAATAGCAGTTCAGTGCTTTTCTGTACACAAAGTCAATAACTACTATAAAATCCATTTTATTATGTAGTACTCTGCAGAGAATGCACAAGAATAATTGGTGCCAAGATTAATTATCACTATTGAAATTTAACACTTGTGACTATTACTTATATATTGCTGTTATATATCATTGTCGTTTTACTCACTTTTCTGTATGTCTTATATCCCTAACTAGATTGTGATTTCCTTGCAGTAGGACCAATTTCTGTCTTTAATATTTCTCATACCCTTTAATAAATCTTAGATATATAGAACTGCTTAACAGTTGGAAAGAGACTGACATACATATATTTATATTTTAGACTAATACTATATTGCTCAAAACAGAGGCAAACAATTCTCATACTGTATGGATCCAGGTGAATTTGTTGGTTTGAGGGGAGAAGGTTGAGAAAACACCTTCATTTCTTCTTATCAAGTAGTTGAAACTGTCCCTCAGGGTAAGTGGTTTTAGGAGCTCTAAGAGATTGGTGAAGGTTATAGGAGCCAAGGAAAAGCTTTCCCTTTGCTGAAGAAAGTTGGCTGAAAATTCACTGACAAGAGGCAGATTCATAGGAGAAAAAACATACAAATTTATTTAAGGTGTACGTGGGAGCCTTCAGAATGAAGATGCAATGGTATAAGGGAAATTGTCCTTTTTGTTTAGGTTTAACAGAAAGTATGAACAGCCTTGTAGAAATATGACTACACAAAAAGGGTGTGACCTAATGCTAATAGACTGAGTGGGGAAACCCAGCAAGCCCTTTCTAGATTCCTCTTGGCCTGAGCATGCATTCCTTCCTTCTGGACATGGGACAGGACCCTCTCTGGAATGGGGGTTTATGACAAGGTATATCAGATAATTTTTTTACAGCTAGAAATGCAGGGGAATGTTAGAATAATATTTTTAGGTTTTATGGCTGGCTTTGGGGGAAAAGAGGCCATAGTTTCTATGACCCACCTTGGGAAAGAAGGATTCTAGTTTCTATGGCTAGCCTTGGGGAAAATGGGACCAAAAGACAGGAGAGCAGGAAAGTCAGAGCAAAACGTTTACTTCCAAAGCTGCTTTTGAGGCCTTCATTTTACGGTATTGTTTTCCGAGCCCTAGCAAGGTTGAAATAGATATTAGAGGGAATGATGAAGGAGTTGACTAAGCCTCAAGGACGTGTGGCAGCATGTGTAGATCAAATTGCTCAATATCCTAGCACTCTGGGAGGCTAAGGCAGGAGGATTGTTTGAGCTTAGGAGTTTGAGACCAGCCTGAGCAAGAGCGAGACTTTGTCTCTACTAAAAAAAATAGAAATTAGCTGGACAACTAAAAAATTTATATATATATATGTATTTATATATATTTATATATATATAAATATAAATAAAATTAGTTGGGCATGGTGACACATGCCTAAAGACCCAGCTACTCAGGAGGCTGAAGCAGGAGGATTGTTTGAGCCCAAGAATTTGAGGTTGGTGTGAGCTAGGCTGATGCCACAGCACTCTAGTCCTGGCAACAGAGTGAGACTGTCTAAAAAAAAAGAAAAAATTGCTCAATAAAAATAATAGCTACTAAGGACCAAGCACTTACTAAGTATCAGGCACTGCCCTCAGCACTCTGTCTTTATTAAATCTAACCACACAACCACCTTAGGTATTTTCTCCATTTTGTGGATGAAGAAATTGGAGCTCAGAGAGGTTAGATCATTTGCCCAAGTGAACTAGCTAGTAAGTGGTAGAGCCATCATTCAAACATAAGCTCCTAATCGCAGTTTGATGGTTAGGATAAGACCAAATAAGTAGGTGGTGTTTAATACAGTGCCTAGCAAATGCCTGGTTCCCAAGTGGGAACACAATAAATGTTAGTTCCTTCTGCTTTCAGGTTTTCAACCAACTCTCCCCATATTTGTTTACCCACCCACTCCTTACTCACCAAACATACACAGCCAATAACACATGCAACACACACTCATCTTTAACAAGGTCCACACTCAGGTATTTAGGTCACCAAGTGTTAAATCTATTCGTATACTCTATTCTTCCTGATAGACGTCAGCCCACATATGTAAAGTGAGTCCTAGGACCACTATCATCTCTCTCCAAGGTAAGTGTAAATATACACACTAATACTGACTCTGGATTACAAAACAGAGCCTAATGGACAGCAGAATTCAACTCAATAAGGACTTTTCTTTTTCCATTATCCAAGGAAATGCATGAGTTACCATGACAGATGCCAAAGACGTTTGGCTCCGATAGTGGAAATTGGGAGGCAATGGTGGAATGAGGTAAGAAATTCCAGGCCAGAAGGTGGACTCAAGGCAACAACGGCTTCTCCCAGGAGCTTGCACTTTTTGGTAAGTGCTACATGTACAAGCCCCAACCCGCCGCCTAAGCCACCCCGATTCTGAACCGGCTCAGGCTGGAACAGATGCGCACGCCACAGGGAGCCTCCTTTGCAGGAGATGAGTGTTCCCTTGCTCTATTTTAATCCTCGCCGCCCAGCCAGGGGAAGGTTTTGTCAGAAATGGTGGAAAACTGTGACAGCCAAGCTTTCTCATGCAAAGGCTAGGCAGCCCGTGAGTACGAGCAGCGAATCACGACTTGCACAGTATTTAATGGTTCAAGAGAAAACAAGTTTCCTTCCTGCCGGCCCGCACTTGTGGAGCCAGCCGGGGCGGCAGTGGCAGCGCCGGGCGACGTCCTGCGGGGCTCTGGAGAGCGGGCGACGCGGAGACGCCAGCAGCACCGCCCCGGCACCAGAGCCGAGGGCCGCGGGGGAGGCTCCGGAAACCGCCCCTAGCTGATCCCCTAGGACCCAGTCGGTCCTGGTAAATACCCCTCCCAGCCCTACGGGAGGAAGGACAAGTTCAAACGCTGGTGTAAAGCTTGGGCGTCTACAGACCCAACCATTGCCCCCGCCCACCCTGCTGCGCAGGCGCGCACCGCAACAGCCGTCCCGGAGCCAACTGGGGTGACTGCGCCTGCGCAATCCGGGTCCGGGCCCTACGCCCTTTCCGAGGCAGCGCCTGGAGGCCGCCGTCGCTTAGCAACGCGAGAGTCACAGTCGCCTTCCTTTGCTCACCTCTCCCCTGGCAGGGCTGCGTTCCTGTTCTTCCTGCAGGCTCCTCGCTGCCTCGTGCCAGGCCTTAGGGGCCCATGGAAGGAGAGGAGGACACGCAGCAGTAAGTGCTGGGATTTGGGTTTTTATTTCCCCTTTCGAAAAATATTTTACTCCTTCAGTGGGAGGGGTAGGTGACAACCGAGGCATGGGACCTCAGCCCAGACCTTCCGAGCCAAACCTCAGACAGCCCCCATGCTACCTCTGATTTCTAGGGGCTGAGCACTTACAATAATCTGTTAAAACGTCGTTGACTGAGCACATACTGTGTATCAGGCACTTTACATGCATTACCTGGCCTAACATTCTTGAAGTCATCTTGAAATCATCCACTCCTCACACCACCACCACCACCACCACCCCATGTAACTTATTAGCAAATTCTGTAGGCTTTACCTGTAAAATTATCCAGAATCCACCACTATTCATCACTTCCATTATCTACCCCACGCCATCCCAAGTACCATCTTCTCTTACCTGGAAGCTGCAATAGTCTTCCAAGTGGTGGAGTGGTCTTCACCGCCTAAGTTAGGTCACTGTTCTCCATCAGAACGTCGTAGAATAAACACCTATGGGGCTTGCACAACCTGCCCCTTCCTTCCTTACCTTACAGCTTGCCTCCCTCTGACAGGACTCGGCTACAGCACACGGGCCTCCTTGCTATCATCTCAGTGATTCTCAAAGACTGGCTTCAGACCAGCCTCGGCGTTGTTAGAAATAAATATCCTTGGGGGTTCCCCGCCCCAGGCATACTGAATTAGAAACTCGGGGTAGGGGGGAGGTTGGGTGAACAAGGCATCCAGGTGATTCTGATAGTCCCTAATTTTGAGAACCATTGAGCCGAAGTAGTTCAGCTAGTTAAGAGTGATGTAGAACCAGGGGTTCCTGCTTCCAAACCCTGTATTTTTGTCCCTTGAACAGTGGTTCTCAAACTTTAAGGTGTATAAGAATCAGCTGAACAGCTGGTTAAAACAGGTTCCTGGGACCCAGTCCCAAAGATTATGATTTAGTAGGTTGCAAGGGGGCCCGTAAACTTGTATTTCTAACAAGGTCACAATTGATGCCAGTGCTGCTACTCCAGCGTCCACACTTTGAGAAGCACTGTGCTAAGGACAGACACATTTCTGCTGCAAAGCTTTGGCAGTTACAGTTCATTCTGTTGGACTACCCTTCCCTCAAATATCCACTTAGCTCTCCCTCCCTTCTTTCTTTTTTCAATTGCCACCTTCACAATGCAGCCTCCACCCTACCTAAAAATGCATCCTACCTCCCACATACATGCACTCCCTTTTCCTATTCCCTGCTTTATGGTTGTCCTTAGGACTTAACACCATCTAAAAGACTGTATTATTTGATTTCTCATCTGCCTTCCCCCGCTAGAATGTAAGCTCTGTAAGGGCAGGAATTTTTGTTTTTGTCAATGCTATATCTTCAGTGCCTCCCACACACCTGGCATAGTTAACTCAATAAATATCTGTTGAAAGAATGAATTATTCCGTGTTATTCTCACATCTATCACAATAGGTATTATTGTCCTTATCATGCAAATGAGGTAATCAAGGCTCAGATATTAAATGGTACAGCTGGGATTTCAATCCAGGTCTGACTCAACTTCAGAGCCCATTAGTGTTTTTATCTGTGTTTTCCTTCAGGTAAGAGATTGCTACAGAGTCATGTATTTCACATTTATCAATATGTATTTCACATATATCAGTCTATAGCCATGCACATCACAAGTGCTTGGCTTATCCAAATGAAGGGGTAAAATTGCAAGCAAATAACCACAGTCCTTTCTTCAAGGACCTGTTTCCAGTACTGGTGTATTGCTGGTTTACAACTATGAGAAACAGGTGTGGAAAAATCTGATGCCAGAAGTCCACAGTGATAAATTAACTGACCTCCAAAATCTCCACCTTTAAATACTTACATCTCTGGAAAGCTAATAGAAAAGGCTTAGAAGTTATTTACACTTTACCGGTAATCAGTTTTTCCAAATCCTTTATAGAGAGTGATTTTCTTGGGAAGCAGGGAACTAGAATGCAATGATTCTGAATGTTATTTTGGTGTGTATTGGAGTGAGGGTTGAGGGTGTACAACTAAAACAAAGCTAGAGGGGGAAAACAAACAATTCCAGGAAATTCACCAGAAATATGTAAATATTATAATGACAATCCATTTACCTTGGATGAATGGGACACTTGTCCAGATGTTGGGTACATAATGATGCATAAAACAATCTACACCTTCATGGAACTTGTTGACTACTAAAGGATATTTGTAGTGCTTACTAAAAACAAGTAAACAAAAAACTAGGTATATAAACTGTGGTAAGTGTTATAAAAAAAATGGACCAAGTACTACAATAGAGAACACATAGGGCAGTGAGAGGGAGCTCTAGAAAAAGCTTCCAAGGAGATGATGACTTTCAATCTGAGACCTAAATATAAGCCAGCTGTGTCGGTGGAGCTGGGGCAGGGCTGTCCAGGCAGAGGGAACAACATGTGCAAATGCCCTAAGGAGAACAGAGATTAGTGTGTTCCAGGAACTGAAAGAAGGTAGGCTGGCTGCAGAAGTGTGGAAAGACGCTTGAGTGAGGTTGAAGATATTAGCTGGAGAAGGTTGCACAGGACCTTAGAGCTACAATTGGGAGACAGTATTTTATTGTAAACACAATGGAAAGCCCCTCGAGGGTTTTAACTGAAAAGATGACATGATAGAAGAGATAGACCTGGGTTGTTTTGAAGGAAGGTAGGGGTTATATTTTAAGAGCTATGTGTAAACTTAAACAGAACTATCCACTTTATGTATCTGAATCTTATTGGCTTACCTTCTGTGGGATCACAGCTTTGATTTTTAACAGCTTCTAATGTAAAAAGTATTCAAATTCATTTATTTCATTATTTTTCAAGTATGTGAAAATTTAAAATACTGCCTTTTATAATGTCTGTTTCTCTTTAAAATAAAAATTTGATAAGCTTTTCTAAACATTTTAAAAATATTTTTTCATTTTAATAATTTTAATTTTTGTAGCAGTGTAGTTACTAGAAGCAAAAAGTGATGAAATTGAATTGATTTTTACTGCCTGCACAGTGGCCTTTCCTTGAAAATATAAATAATGGTGGTTATTTGGTAGTTTTAAAGTTTGCCAGGTGAGCCTTTAAAATTAAATAGTTTAATTATTTAAACCACCTCATTCAGATGGTTATTTCCTAGGGAAGGGAAGAGGGGGAAGTCATCTTTTGGTGATAAAATTTTAAAGAAGATGAGTTAAGTTTAGCATGTAACTTATCCACATGCATAAATACCGAAAACATGATTTGTAAGCATGTCAAATCACTACTCTTTTTTTTTTTTTCTTTTTTTTGAGACAGAGTCTCACTTTGTTGCCCAGGCTAGAGTGAGTGCCATGACGTCAGCCTAGCTCTTAGCAACCTCAAACTCCTGGGCTCAAGCGATCCTCTTGCCTCAGGCTCCCAAGTAGCTGGGATTACAGGCATGTGCCACCATGCCTGGCTAATTTTTTCTATATATATTAGTTGGCCAATTAATTTTTTTCCATTTATAGTAGAAACAGGGGTCTTGCTCTTGCTCAGGCTGGTTTTGAACTCCTGACCTTGAGCAATCCGCCTGCCTCAGCCTCCCAGAGAGCTAGGATTACAGGCGTGAGCCACCGAGCCAGGCCCCACTATTCTTTCTTTACTCCAAGCGAATGAGAGTTGGTGCACCACACTAGTATATTATATGAGTAATCACTATTAACACAAATCTCTTTTATATGGTTTAGAATTAGAAGATAACCTCCCAAATTTTAATAGCACAGACCCTTATAACTATTAAAGCCTAAATTATCTTGACTGATGTTTAAAATATATTTAAATTTTATTTTATGTAATATGTCTCAGTACTGAAATGGTTATTGGGGTGAATGATTTACTATTTAATTATGTTTTTCAGACAGCATAAAATAGAAGATGCTGGTATAGTCTATGTAACTGAAAAAAAAGAAGAAATCAAAGATGAAAAAAACCCTGGAAAAAGCATACAACAGTCAAAACCATGCATTGGGAGAGGACGTGTATATCGTGCTAAATTCATTAACACAAATACAAGAATATACAATGAACCAATTCCCTACATAGATCTCAAAATAGGGCCAGAAAAGCAGGTTGGACAGATGTTCATTATATATAAATACAGATTTAGATTCAGAAGCTCTTTGGCAGGGCAATGTGGTCACAGACTATTTAAAGGATATGACACATCTCAGAGTAATACTGTTTATAAGCCAATAATTAACAGCAGTAACCTAGAACTATTTGGGCAGATAACTTTTGCATACAAACAATATGTATACAGGGAAGGAATCTAAATAATAATTTTTCTGGATAGGGTCAGATTATAGCCACTAAGTAGTGCTTAGGAGTTACTAAAGAAATTTCTTATATAATATTTGTGACATAGATTCTAATATGAAAAATTTCCATTCTACTCAATAATCCAGATACTTTCTGTACAATAATAGCTACCATTTATTAAAAGTGTATGAATGCTAGGAATGAGCTAAGTGTTTTATATAAATTATATCCTTTAATCTCTGCAACAATTTCTACGAGGTATTATTGGAAATAGCTTACAGATGTTAACAAAGTCAAATTTGTTGAGGTATAATTTACTGTATTAGTTTCCTGTTGCTGCTGTTACAAATTACCACAAACTTAAATGCTGGCTCAAAGGAACACAAATTTATTCTCTTACATTCTGGAGCTCAGAAGTCCAAAATCACTTTCACTGGCTATTAGCAGGCCTGGTCTTTCTGGAGGCTCTACAGGTAGAATTGGTTTCCTTCCCTTTCTCAGATTCTAGAGGCTGCCCACAATCCTCTGCTCAGGGCACCTTTTTCTTTCTAGCAGCACAGCATCTTCAAATCTTTCTCTGACTCCCTGCCTCCCTCTAATAAGGACCCTTGTAGTTACATTGGGCCCAGCAAGATACTTGAGGATAATTTCCCATTTCAAGATCCTTAATCACATCTGCAAAGTCCCTTTGCCATGTAAGGTAACATATTCACAGGTTTGGGGATTAAGATATGAATATCTTTGGGGACAGAGGGAGCATTATTCTGCCTACCACATTTACACAGTAAAATTCACTTTTTTTAATGTACAATTCCGTGAGTTTTGGCAAAGGTTTACTCATGTTACCTACCATAACTAAGCTGTGAGACATTCTATCACCAACAAAAGTCCCCCCCATACCCCTTGGTAGTCATCCCCTTCCCCTACCCAACAACCCCTGATTTATTTTCTATAGTTTTGCCTTTTCCAGAAAGTCATACAAATGGAATTGTAAAGTATGTAGCTTTTTGAATCAGTCTTCTTTTTCTCAGAATAATGCATTTGAGATTTATCCATGTTGTGTTATATATCACTAGTTTATTCTTTTTTGTAGCAACTACACATTTGCTGTGTGACTTTGGGTAAGTCATTCTATCTAAGTTTCAGTTTCCTTATCTATATAATAAAGATAGTAATTGTCTGTCTGTTTTTTTTTTTTTTTTTTTTGGTGAGACAAAGTCTCACTCTGTTGCCTGGGCTAGAGTGAGTGCCGTGGTGTCAGCCTAGCTCACAGCAACCTCAAACTCCTGGGCTCAAGCAGTCCTCTTGCCTCAGCCTCCCGAGTAGCTGGGACTACAGGCATGCGCCACCATGCCCGACTAATTTTTTCTATGTATTTTTAGTTGTCCTGCTAATTTCTTACTATTTTTAGTAGAGACAGGGTCTCGCTCTTGCTCAGGCTGGTCTCAAACTCCTGACCTTGAGCGATCCTCCCGCCTCGGCCTCCCAGAGTGCTAAGGATTACAGGCATGAGTCACCATGCCCAACCTGAGCTGCAATTTTATTTATTTATTTATTTATTTTTTTAACTTCACATCCACTGGAGTAATGAGCTGCAATTTTAAAGAGAAGTCTTCGCTGAGGTGAAATTTTAGTGAAAGACCTGAGAGAGGGTGAGGGAGGGACCTGGCAGAAGAGCATTCCTAATACTCGAAGGAATCACTCACAAACGTGAGCTCTCAGTGGTAGCAGAATCCCAGGCTACTGCTCTCTGCACGGTTGTGGGGACCGAGGACCCCACCATCTTCATTTAGCTGAGAGCAGATTCTATGATAGAGGACCTTATATGGTGCTGGGCCGGGTGAGTGTTCAACAGATGGTATTCAAAATATGCCACAGCAGAGGTAATAATAACTTCTCATGTAGGTATTTTCCAGCATGACATTTGGAAAAGGAAACGTGCACCATCTGATTGGTCTCAGACGACTGTGGCAATGTCACCCTTGCCCTACTCCACTTCTTCCCTCATCCTTGCTAGTGCATGAGTTAGGTGTCTGATTTAACTTAACAGTTAAATGCAGATTGCTTTTTGTGAGCTCTCTTCACACTGATAACATCTGTTCTTTTCATAAGACAGCAAGCACACCATGGCACTGTATGCGTGTGAGATCATCTCAGGGCAGGAATTCCCTTGGTTAAATATGTTCAGTATTTTGAAGTAAACCCTTACAAAGGCAGTCTTAAGGCTATATCATTTTATAAAATTGCCCTGGTAGGTGCTCTTGTACCAATTCTATCAGATTTTAAAGACATCCATTGTTATTGTTAGATCAGATCTATACCAGGGGCGTAAATTTGCAACAGATACCCAGATAAGTGAAATTCTCATATTTCTTACAAAAGCCAACGAATGGCTCTCCTAAGTTCAGGGTTGAATCTAAAAGAAACTGTTAACTAAGCCCATCCTTATCTTGGAGATACTAAGGAAAAGAAACTGGTTCAAGAATACAAATATAAGATATAAAAGTTTTAAAAAATTACTCTCAACGAACTTTCTCTTCTCATTCCTAGTCTGTAAGGTGTCTTGAGAAAAAAATAAAGGAACAAAGCAGTTAGGAGCTGCTATCAGCAAGACTAAGTGACAGAGTAGTAGTAGAATCCAGTGCTGGACCCTTAAGAGATGGTGAAAATAAGTTTGAGGTGAAGTAGGAGCTCATCTAAGGCAGGCTGGCAGTGAATACGAATGTGGGGAGTTACAGAGAGACACTGAAGAGTTAAACGCATGTTTCATTTGGGTGTGGATTGAAGGGAAGATTCATGTTTAAAAAAGAAAACCAACAAACTTCCAAGTACCCAAGGAGCAGTTAAGAATGCTTATTTCACATTTGTAAATTTTGCTCCTTTATTTAAAATGACAGGTTTCTTTTTAAAGGTTAGCTTGGTTAAGAAAACAATTAACTGGTTTATAATAATGCTGGCTTTAGAAAAAGAGTAAAGAAAATAAAGTTGCCTAAAGATTTTAAATGACATCTGTTGTTTTTTGCATTTTGCTAAGATATCTTTAGAATGCAACACCAGATTGGTTGGTTTTATTTATAAGATTTTCAAGTGAAACTACTACCTATCCACTTCTACCTGGGAACACTGGGGATGCTAGAAAAAAGTCAAAAGGAGTTTTAGCACAGTCATTTCTAAAGAAAAGAAAACTAGTTTGGTTGTCTTGTATTTTCAAATATTGGTACTTTAAAAGATTATACTACATCAGTATTTTACAAAGTTTATTTTTCAGAGCAATGGCCCTTGCCTACTTGCTTAAAATAAATTTCCAAAGCCAAATACGTTTTAGAAAACTGTATTTTTATATACCTTTCTCAGAGCTTCATAATTCACATTAGAATATGAAGTTTCTGAGAAATCCTGTGATAAATGTATTTAACTTTGCTTATCTCACTATTTCCCAAATTTGTTTAACTATGGAAACCTCTTTTGTATAACACCTATTAATATGCTAGAGAACTAGGCTTCCAAAGAACACAATTTGGAATTGTTATGGGGGACATTATGAATTTCCTCAAAAGAGATTTTTTTTTTTTTTGAGACAGAGTCTCGCTCTGTTGCCCAGGCTAGAGTGCTGTGGTGTCAGCATAGCTCACAGCAACCACAAACTCCTGGACTCAAGCAATCCTTCTGCCTCAGCCTCCCGAGTAGCTGGGACTACAGGTATGCGCCATCATGCCTGGATAATTTTTTCTATATATTCTTTAGTTGTCCAGATAATTTCTTTCTATTTTTAGTAGAGACAGGGTCTCGCTCTTGCTCAGGCTAGTCTCGAACTCCTGACCTTGAGGAATCCTCCCACTTCGGCCTCCCAGAGTGCTAGGATTACAGGCATGAGCCGCCATGCCCGGCCCAAAAGAGATATTTTTTAGCACTCATGATATTCACAGCAAAATAGAGATGAACTTAGGTACAGTGTAACCAATGTGACCTTGCCTAGTGTTTGTGATAGAACTTCAATTTTTAAAGCCACTGAGCTCTACTAATAAAATGTGATTGTGTGTAGGTTTTATCCATATTTCCTAGGAATCCCCAAAGTATGATTTTGTTTCCAAGTAACCACCACCCCCACCAGCTACCTTGGTCAGGCCATTGTGGCTAGTGCCGTGGAGCTCAGCTTACCATCTCTTACACTTCCCCAGGATGCTTCTCTTGCTATTACTACTTCTCCTCTGAGGGTTCTCCCTTAATTTCCCACAGAATGGAAAATAAGTAATGGTTGCTAAAACACTTCTGAAAGCTCAGGGATAACAGGAGTATAATATTGAGACTGTCTTATAACAGCTTTAAAATGTGACTAAGAGGCCCACAGTGCAACAACCATCAGGCCTTCCTGGACTAGAGGATTAGGAGGAGCTCCATCATCAGGAATCTCCAGGCATCTTTGACCATGGGGGCCCAGGGACTAATATCCTGGGGCAGGAAAGAAGACAGGAGGGAGGACTTCCTCCTCTCTATCTCTCTCATTCCAAAATTTTAAGTTGGGAACAACTATCTCTTTAGGGAAAACCGTGTCTACAACCTGCCAGGTATGGTCTGTCGCCAAAACCTAGAAAAAGCCATCACACTTTCCCCAATTTGGTTTACTGTATCATAAAGTACTCCATGCCAACCCCCCACAATCCAGTGCAAATGATGGTACATAAGGCAGTAAATTTTTTGTTAGTTTTTCTCTTCAATGTGAAGAAAAGATAAAAACAAGCCTCCATTTATCTCTTTAATCTCATAATCTTTTATGAGCAAATTCTTGGACCAAAAAGGCATGCACATGTTCCATGGGCACGTACACACTCTCACTCTTCCAGGAACAAGCCATACTTTTCAGGCATTGAAGATTATCCAGAAACAAGAAAGATAATATTTTTTGAACTGTAGGATTTCACTCAGCTGAAATTTAGAACACTCATCAGAACATTTTTACAAACTACAGGGTCTTAAAGTCACCAATCATACTTTTAGAAAAAACTTGTTCATTATTTCCTTTATTTTTGTAAAACTGAAGAGACCACTTTGGTAAAATTCTCAATTCAAAAGTTTGCTCAAAGGGTGAACTATCTCTGCTTTAAGGATAGCTTTGTATTACACTCCAGTTTAAGAAAAAAAATTAAAGTCCACCAGGCATTTCCCAGTGGTTCACTTATCCAGAATTGCTTTTCCTATAACTTGGGTATTAGCAAAAGTTTCTGATCAACAAAAGTAGATGATAAAAAGTGTATGCCTCACAACCTTATTATAGAAGAACTTTCTCAGGACACTTACTGCTATGGTTTGAATGTTTGTCTCCTCCAAAACTCATGATGAAATTTAATTGCCATTTTAACAGTATTAAGAGGTGGAATGTTTAGGAGGCAATTAGGCCATATGGGCTCCAGTCTCATGGGTAGAGTGAATGCCATTGTGAAAGGTCAGGTTTGGTCCTTTATTGCCCTATTTTGGCCCTTCTGCCTTCCACCACATGAGGACACAGTGCTCAAGGTGCCATCTTGGAATCAGAATTGCCAAACCCGCCAGTGTCTGGATGTTGGACTTCCCAGCCTCTAGAACTGTGAGCCAATAAATTTCTGTTCTTTATAAATTACCCAGTCTAACTTGTTCTGTTATAGTAGCACAAAACAGACTAAGACACTTACTTAGGGCCTCTTTACTTTTACTTTGGAGATAATTAAGTTTGTGCTGATTTGATTTTGCATTCCATAGCAGATTTGATACAGTGGTGCAGCACAGAAATCAGGGGGTATGCACAGAGAGGTGGGGGTTTGAATGGTGGCAGTGCTGCTGCCTGCTAGTAATATATCTTTGGGAAATTACTTAATCGGCAGTTTTCTCATCTGTAAAGTGAATTACCTACCTCATAGAATTGTGTTGAGATTAAGTGAGATGAGACCTGTAAATCCTAGATCCCAGGGCATAGTAAGCACTATCAGAATTGTGAAATGGGATGGAGGAGAGCTGCCAGAAGCAGGCGCTCTGACAACAGCAAGATGTACTATCTTCAGCCAGATAGTAAAAAGACACCATCTGTTTGGTAATCTGTTCTAGAATTCTTCTAGGATCTATATCAAGTAATCTTAATTTTTTTTAACTCACCTTTTAGCCCATTATGAAAAATGAGGCATTAGCTGATCTATTCTCCAAAATTCCCTAGTTCCTAAATTTCTGTATCTCTGCAGAAAATACCCCTGGTTACAATGACCCATTATTCCATTGCCCCTGGTTACAATTTGTCATTGGCCTAAAAACTGGCATTCATTTAACATGAGAAAGTGAGGTCTAACTCTCTCATCAGCTATTCAGGTGTTAGTTCTCTCTTTGGTACATGTTCGTCCCATCTTTTTAAGTATGAAGGTAATTTCCCTTAACAAAGAACCTAAAGTTGAGTAGTTCTGACTTTCAGCTCAATTGTTAGTCTTTCCTTGGTTTCTTGCTACAAACACTTCTTTTTCCAGAAAATCTTATTTTTGCTGCCTTTGGCATGTTTCATAAATTTCCTCTATTTCTAAGCTTCTTGACAATCTTCTGACAAGTTGTCTCCATTGATTTTTTTTTTGAATTTGATATTGTATATCTCTTTTATGTATGCCTGTCTTTTAAAATAAGCTCATTTGAGAGCTGACTCCCTATGCCACATGGATTTCTTTAGATGCCTCTTCTTTTTTGTACCAATGTAGCTTCAATTGTATTGTCAGAATTTTTTACTTCTTAGAACCACATATTCATCCCCATTGAATCATATTTTAAAAGTCGTTGACTATGGAATCAGTTGATTTTTTTTAAGACAGAACTGCTGCCTTATAGCCCAAAATAGATGTTTGATTATACTGAAGATTACTTTCATTCCCTGATCATATCCAAGAACTCCTAGGTGTCACAGTGGCTTTTCTTCAAGGCTCTCTTACTTTTACCTGATCGACCAGTTTTAAAATTTTTGATTTAAGTTGAACAAAATTAAGTTGAACAATGGTTCTTCTCACTGCTTTCTCAACTTCTGAAAGATCAAATTGTCATGCATGCTAATGAAGAATCCATCAGTTCTCCCTTTCTTGAGTACTAGGGTTTTATATCAAAAATTCAGTAACATTTGAGATATTTCCCTTTAGAACAAAGTTTATCAAGCTGAGTCATTAATGAATTATAAATCAACATGAGCTGTAATCAATATATAGTAAGAATAAGTATTTTGTGAAACTTGTGTTTCAGTTTTATGTATGTGTAGCATTATATACCCTTGCATGACATAAAATGTATTTCATTGTGTTGGTCATGGACTAAAAACTCTGAAACCATTTTAGATGATAATACATTATTTGTATTGTCATAATGAAAAGTATAAAATATAATTTTTACATTATATCATATTTAATATTATATATACATATACATACATGTGCGCATATAATAAAATTTGAGTACAAAACAGAAATCAAACTTTTGTTGATTTTTATTAGTCTAGCTATTGGTAGCTTAAGAATTTAACAGCTGTATTTTAGCTAAAAATATATGACAGCTCATTTTTAGGTGGCTTTTAAGAAAATAAGTCTTGTGAAAAGGTATTTATTCCTAGATTTCAGAACTATATTTTAGTACTAGAATATCCAATAACTCATTGAATTACTGAACATTCGTAGACATCAAGAAACACATGAAAACATTCTACAATATCCAATTTTGTGTTTCCGATTTTTCTTTTTTTTTTTTTTTTTTTTTACAAAGGGTGACTGGTGGCCACATGGTAAAGCACTGGAACCTGCCTTTCGACCACCTTATGACACTAAGAGCGTCCAGAGGAGTGACTTCCAAAAACCAACATGTCCATTGGTTTTGCCAGTCAAACACAGCAAGATGCAAAAGCCTTCTTGTGGAATAGGTAAGGTTAGCAGTGGTGAAACCTCTTTTTATTATTTTGGGTTATTGCCCTCAAGTTAAGATGTATTAGATGTGCTGACACCTCCTGAAAAAAAATTACTTTTCGACAGAAGTTGAAAATATATGCACAGCAAGTACAGCCTTTGAAAAGTTTGTTATCTCTTCCTCATGGACAACTTGTCTCCAAACATTTTTAATATAATGTAATGAAAAGTGTACCAATCATTAATAACACCAGCCTCCAAATTAGAAACTTAGTAGTATTCTGTTCATTGTCGTTGACACCAAACTTTAATAATTATAACTATTAAAATGGTAGGTGACAATAAATGGCAAGATCTCTAAAAGTGCACTCTGATGTCATACAAGTTTTGTAGGGCGTTTGCAGACACTGCCTAAAAGAACAGGTGAAGTGGTCAAATAAGTTTAGCAAAAAACGAACTTGAAGAAGTTAAACAGATTTTTTTTTTGCTGAATAACTTTCAAAATTCTTATTCAAAATATAAGCATGATGAATTTCCAAGAAGGGGAATGAAGAATGCTGCATTTCCCCCACTTATTGATCATCACACATGACTGGTGTCCCCCAAAACATTATTTAGGAAACACTGTTTTATAAACTATTAAATAAAACACTTTCAGATTTAAAATTGATTTTACCTAACAATGTCATTATAATAAACTAAGTCACTTTTTATTCAAGTTGTATATGTTTCTTAACCCACATCCTAGTCATCTCTCTCTCTCTCCGGAATAGGATTTAGCAAGTGCAAGATCTAGTCAAAACAAAACTACATTATTGAGCACCCACTCTGGTCTTTGCCCCTTATAAAAGTTCATAAGCTAAACTTCAAATAAGCCACTGTAAAATATGACTGGACAACAAAGGATTGCTTTTAAAGGTCAAGAGTTTCTCACTTACTTTTAGCCTCTGGCTTCTGTGATTTGGTCAGTCTAGTTAAGGATACAAAGGGAAGCTATATTGAAGGTCAGGACTTTAGAAAATGGTCATATTCAGCATGATTTCTACCTCAAGAGAGGTAGTTAATAAAGAGGGCTAACTATTAGATAATCTGTAACTCTTAGATAATCTCAGAGGACCCACTGGGATGGAAATGAAGTCCTAGCACAATATTTAGCCCTTAAGTGAACAAAATTCATGTAATTAGGTAATATTATAAATGCTATTTAGTAGTTTTCAACTTTTAGGCTCAATCTGTAGACATAATATGGAAAGTTTACAGATAATTACAGAACAGAATGTATGTTAACAGTTTTAATAAGAAACGTAAATACACAGTTGATAGAAGATGGGGAGTAGAAGAGAAGGATGCTAATATCATTATTTAACATATGGGTAATCAAGAGCTACTGCTCAATGTGGATGAAACAAGGAATAAAAGTTTAAAGCGAACGGTCAAAGGAACCAGTATAAGAATGAGATTTATCTCTCTAACCCTGGCCTCTTCACTGAGCTTCAAGCTCACATATCCAACCATTTACTTAACATCTCCTCGTGGATAGCTAATCACATTTTCAAACTTGATATGGCTAGAATAAAACATTTCATTTCTACCATGCAAATCTAACCCCAGCCAATCGACCAATCTCTGTGAATGCCTCCTCTATTCCCCCAGGGTGCTGAAGTTTTGATAACCTAGAAGTCATTCTAAAACTCTCCTCTTTCCCTCCCCCCCTCTACATGCAATCCATCAGCAAATCTTGACACCTCTATTTCCAAAATATACCCCAAGCTATTCCTTTCCATCTTCACTGTAACCAGTGTAGTGCAGCCACGGTCAGCCTGCTGCCTTTCTTCCTATTAGGTGTTTTCCACATCATCAGAAGGATCTTTTTAAAACACAGATCATGTCATTATCCTCCTGGGTTTTCCAGTTACTTCTTATTGTTCCTGGAATAAATTTCAAATTCCTCACTGTGGCCTACATGGCCCCTTTTGATCTGCCAAATCTGCCTACTTTATCTTCTGTTGTTCATAATATGGGGATTTAGAGAAGGGGCATGTATTCATAACTCAGATCAGGGAGGTAGTGATGCTCTTTCAGAGAGCATGCTTTCAAGTCATGCTTCTTTCCAAACCCATTTGTGTCTGTGTACTTGTTATTATAGTTCTATAACTTCATATTTTTGTAAATTAAAATCTGAATATGAAAAGAAAACAGTTGTTTTTATAAAATAGTCAAAGTTGAATGCCCAAAGACTTGATAAAAGATCAATCACTAACTTTAAATAAAATGCCAATTAGGTGTGGGCAAAATAACTAGGAAAAAGGAGCCGGAGTGAATTTTTAAAATCTTGAAGGATTCTTCACTCATTTTGCCTCGAGTGTGTCTTTACGTTTTCATTCTGTATTAAAGAAAAAGAAAGTGGAAAGGATGCATTAGAGGTATGGTTGTATAAGAAACACAAAGTGGAATTCCAATCAGCGGATACTTCCTTAAAGAAAGTGGCTTGTCATTCCAATAAAAATTTGGTGAATAAACTGGTTAAAGTGAACATATGTACATATGGTATGTGATTCTTTGCTTTGACTTTTTTGGTTAACCAACCAGTCCTTTTTGCACAAGGAGCAGTTGTTTCTACTCAATTGAAGGCATGTGGAAGAGTGGTGGAAGATGACACTAGCAAGATGGGCTTTGTTCTATGTTGATCAGGCAGGGCCTGGCCATTTCGTAAGGGATCCCCCCAAATCAGGGTCTGTAGATCTGTTCAGCTAGTTAATTTTCCTTGAGAGGAATTCTCCAGACCCCTACCTGGGGCGGAGGACAGAAAGTCCCTGAAGCAATCCTCGGGCGGAGGACAGAAAGTCCCTGAAGCAATCCTCTGTTTGCAACTTCAACTTGTACCTACCCCAAGCTCCCTGCATCAGCGATATCTGATGCTTCCCAATTCCAGAGCCTTCCTGGAAGGTGGAGGCATGAATTGGCTCAATTTTTACCACCTCCCCATCTCCACAGCATTTAGCTTTCTGTAGTCTACTCAAGTCAATTGCCACTTATCCATCTGCTTTCCAAATTTATAAACATTTTGCTCTCATTTAGTGCTTTTTCTCCTTAAGGGTTTAAGCCCGCTTAATGTCTTTACTGTCATTGTACTGGAGTCTTGGGAAGGAACAGGGGAAATTCACATATTGAATTTGCCATGTTTAACTGGAAATCATAGTAGCTTTATAACCATCAACACTTTCCTTGGAATTTAATATTGATTTAGTATTTAGTGTTGTTTGATCCTGGGCCTATTACTTAAATTTTGTCATCTTGTTTTGCTCGATTTATAAAATGGGAATAATTCCTACTTTGCAGGATTGTTATGAGAAATGAATAACATATAAGTTCCTACCACAGTGTTTGGTACATAGTAGATAATAAATTATGGTTATTTCTATTATTAATTATTGCATTGTACTAAGTTAGGTATTGGGTTGAACTTTAGCTTTGGGACCTGGCATGGTGTCTCTTTTTCTCTTTCTGTTTGCTCTTTTATTGGTATTCTCATTGCTAAGTTCATTATTGTATCCTAGGGTCTAGTATAATGCTTAGAATCAATATATATTTATTAATTAGTTGGATGATAATTATATGTTATTCAATAGATTAACTTAAAGTCATAATGTAATTTAAACTAACATGCACAACACAATATAGGCCTGTAGTTTATTCAATTTTAGGTGGGGTTTGGGTACTAGATGAAAAATGATTTTTAAAATATATATTTTAATATAGCATTTAAAATATGTATATAAACTACTCTATATGTGCCAGCTTTTTAATATAAGCATACAAACAGAAAACTGTGCATATAAACGTACACCAATACCAATTAAAAGTCATAGTCATTCTGTTCCATCAGCCCACTTCATTACGCCTGGTCTTTGGCATTTCAGCAATGTTATCTTGCGCTGACAATTCAAAGTGCCCTTTATGTCTTGTACCAGCACACAATTTTCTGGCTGCCATCCACAGTCAGTTAACAAATGGCTGTGCTCCATTGTATCTGAGGCCCTGTAAGAATAAGTGTTCACATTTGGTTTTCTATAATAAAACTTTATAAATTGGAAAGGCTGATCTAATTTGTGAAGAGGATATTTCATACTTAAACAAAACTTTGGCTGTTTACCAACTACTTGATATTTTAATGTTGCTTTGAATTGCAAATTCAGATACTGTGGTAAAATTCATTTTCTAAAATAGGTTTTAGTTTGTGTTGTTTCTTTTATACCAAGGTCTAGTAAAACAACAATTTCTTGCTATAATTATGTTTGTTACTTTTTTTTTTTACTATATTTTGAAAATCTATACTATTATTTTTACATTATTAATCTTTTTATATAAGATCAAAATAAACACCATCAAGAAGAATGGGGCTTAAGAGAAAAATATTACTGATGAGTGTTTTTTAAGCAGATACAAAAAGTTAAAAGAAAATTTCTCAAAGTAAAACTGCTACGTTCTCACCAATATAAGGAGCAAATTGTGTGTCTGAATAAATCCTGGCTTTGTTGACAAAATATAAATGGCTAGATACCAACTTGTTTGGAAAGTTCTTATTTTAATTAGATCAAGTTTCCAAGAAACGGAGAGTGGATTTCAAACATTCTTCATGGACTTTGTATTATTTTTTGTAGTTCTCATCTAACAAGGCTTCTTGCAAGTAATTACTTTGGGCACAATTTGAATTCTTAAGTAGAATAACCACTAAGAACCTGAATATCCTCTTTGATGTTTTCACACTTAGATATTCCTCACCACTGTGGGCTTCTTTAAAAGTCTCATATGTTTGCATAAACGAACATGGTAGGTACGTCTAATTTTGTAAGTGTAGTGTCTGGGTAAGGAATTTCTGTGATAGTTCAGATTACTTTCCTCTTCCTTTATTAGTTCCCATGAAAAAATGAATGCTTTTCTAAGTTTTTATTTTTGAGATTCTGGGACGTTCTAGAATCATCACTATTTAAAAGATGAGTCATTTTAATATATTTAATTGACTTCCATCTCAAGTATTACTGTTTCAGTTATCCGCATGACAAGACCCCTCAAATTGAGTTGCTTAAAGCTACCATTATCCTGTTTGCTCAATGATCTGCAATGTGGGCTGGGTTTAGCTAGGAAGATCTTCATGTGGTCTTGGTGGTGGTCATTTATGTGGCTGCATTCAGTTGGCAGGTGGTCTGAGGACTGGGCTCAGCTGGAATGGTGGAATGACTGGCCTCTCCTTCTCCCTATGGTCTCCATGTGGTTTTTCTAGCAGGCTAACTGGACTTCTTACCTGGCAGTTCAGGGCTCCCAAGAATGTAAAGGCAGAAGCTGCAAGGCTTTCTTAAGATTTGTGCCTGGTGCTGGCACAGTGTTACATCTGCTACAACCTATTTATAGGGAGGGGACTATATAAGGATTTGAATACTGAAGAGGCCCTATTCAATGGGGCCACCAATGTAACAGATTATAACAATGTCCTTAAATAGCTCTTTCACTGAGAGTTTAGGAGTGGCCAACTCTTCACCTTCCTTTGTCTGAAAATGTCTTTACACTTACTCTTTAATGAATGAAAGTATAGCTGGGTATAGAATTCTGGGTTCACAATTATTTACCCTTTACACTTAGAAGATTTTACTCCATTGTCATCTGTATTCTATTCTGTCAAGTTTGTAGACAGTCCAATTGTTAATTCTTTGAGAATAATTTGTTTCAGTATAAGATTTTTAATTTGAAACAGAGCCTTTATGTATAGTTATTCATAGTTACTTATGACTTAAATTAATATTCCAGTTTTAACATAAATTTCAAAAATATTTTCCTTAAGCCTTTTAAAAATATTGTATAAAATAATAACAGTAACTTTCACTTCTTCTTTGATCTTTAACTCAAGTTGAATAAATGATATATACCTTCATATATCATTATTAATGACTCATTTACAAAACATAAACATCAATTAAATTCTACTTACATTTGAAACCACAAGTGTGTTGATTTAATTATATTGTTTTTCTTCTTAAACACTTTAAATACATTTATAAGAAAAACTTAAAACTTTGACAATTAAAACCTTCCCAAACACTTAAATAATTCCTATAAATTCAATGAATTAAACCTAATAAATATTATAAAACCTAATAATTAAAACCTTATAAATCTATAAATTTATAAACCTTATCAATCTTTAAATAACTTTGTCTGCTGAAAGTAAAACTAAAGTGAGTTTTTAAAATTATTTAAAATGTTAAATATATGTGGAGTAGAGAGACCAATATAATAAACTCCTATATATACTCATCACCCAGATTGAAAGGTTATTTAAAAGTAATTTTTAAAGCGTTTAATACTCCTGGCCAGGTGCTGTGGCTCACACCAGTAATCCTAGCACTCTGGGAGGCCGAGGCAGGCGGATTGCTCAAGGTCAGGAGTTCGAAACCAGCCTGAGCAAGAGTGAGACCTTGTCTCTACTAAAAATAGAAAGAAATTAATTGGACAACTAAAAATATATAGAAAAAATTAGTGGGGCATGGTAGCACATGCCTGTAGTCCCAGCTACTCGGGAGGCTGAGGCAGTAGGATTGCTGGAGCCCAAGAGTTTGAGGTTGCTGTGAGCTAGGCTGACACCACAGCACTCTAGCCAGAACAACAAAGTGAGACTCTGTCTCAAAAAATAAAATAAAATAAAGAGTTTAATACTGTTGATACTCTTGCAAAGTTTCAGAACCTTTGTCATTGGATAAGGTAAAAAGAATTATGTGTTCAGCTATAATTACAGCAGCCTTAGAGTCTTCCAATGCATTGTTAATGCTAGTTGGAAGTAACTTCAACACAGAATATCTTGTCCATTGCCTTAACCAGTTGGCCATAACTACAGATTCAGCATAGAATTTATCATATTCTTTCTAGTAGTAAAACATAAGTTGTCAAATAAATTGTATTTATGCTTTCCCTAAAACTTATTGGTATCTGTGTAAAAAGCATATGTAACAGATTTTTAAGACAAATAGACTTAATATTATTGTATTAATATTAATACTAATTTAATATTAGTTTTTAAAAATTCCACAAGTAGGGCTAATTTGGTTGTTTTGATTTAGTTCTTTATATGGAGAAAGAATGGTGAATCCAGTATATTTATTATGTAGATGTGTATACATAGTCTTGCATACTTAAAGAATTTGGTTCCATTAGCTTTTTTATTTTGTATTTATTTATTTATTTTTTTGAGACAGGGTCTTGGTCGGTCACCCAGGCTGTCACCCAACCTTGACCTCCCTGGCTCAAGTGATCCTTCCACTCCAACCTCCCCAGTAGCTAGGACAACAGGCATGCACAACTACACCTGGCTAATTTTTTTTATTTTTTGTAGAGATAGGATCTCGCTGTATTGCCCAGGATGGTCTTAAACTCCTGGGCTCAAGTGATCTTCCCACCTTGGCCTCCCAAAGTGCTGGGATTATAGGCATGAGCCACTGTACCCAGCCTTGTTAGCATCTTTTATAAAGCATGAATATTATGAATACTGATTATATTTCATTATACAAATCTAATTTTTGTCCTGACTTTGCAAAATCTTTTTTTCTCTTAGTTCCACTTGCCTCTCCTGATGCATCAGCAGAACTTCAAAGCAGTTTTGTAGAATACATCTCTTTTACTCATCAATATGATGCCAGGAAAACTCCTAATGAGCCCATCCGAGGAAAGGTGAGACAATATTTAGAATTAATTATTTAATACTTTAGGACAAAGTAGACTTACGATAGAACTTTAAGCTTTTTCAAGTCATAATCATCTTTCAAAGTCTATTTAAACAAACTAACATACTTATTAGTAAGGATAGAATCTCAGCCACATGCCATAGTAAAACTAAGGAATGATATCATAATTTGAATCAGTCTTTAGAATTTGGTTTACTTAAATTATTGAAATCACTTGTATAATAAGATAATGTCAAAGCATAGCCAGCCACAATGATTCGTGCCTATAGTCTTAGCTACTGGGGAGGCTGAGGTGGGAGGATGGCTTGAGCCCAGGAGTTCAAGTCCAGGCTCGGCAACATAGTGAGACCCTATCTTTATAACAAGAATAATAATAGTAGTATCAAAGCAGTTTGGTAAACTTTTTTATATGCTTAATATACATGTGTGGCAGGGAGATGCATAAAAAGTTTACGAAGCCAAATAGAAATGTAATCGTCAATTATTGGAGTTTTCCAATTACAGATGTTTGCTTTCATATTTCATTATTAGTTAGCCTTTTGTTGAAACTAATAGACACTTGGGATACAATCATAAATCCTTAGGCCTGTGAACTATAGTTTCTGTTGTATTCATCAAAACCCATAAAGCAAGAAATTAAATTTTATATGACTAGTCTTATACAACCAAAGGATAGAAAAGTTGAGAATGGAAGGTAAATGAGATGCTGCTTCTTTGACATTCTGCTTTTTTTCCTCTTCCTGTTAATTTTACTATGCACCTTATTTTATAATTTAAAAAAAGTTCACCAGTAATTATCATGGTGGTGTCTTTGGCTTTGGACCAAGGTGACAGCCAGCAAAGAGGCAGAAAATAAGCGCCTGCATCCCTAGAACTTGAGTTAACCCATGAACTCAGTTCACAGCTGCATCTTCCAGCAATTTGTGTTCCCCTGGTTAATGTCAACTTTGTTTTCCTTTCCAGAGACATGGAGTTTTTGTGCAGAGAGAGATAAAACCAGGGAGTGGGCCAACAGTTCCTAAGGGAACAGAGGTATTATTGACTGCTCCAGGGTCATGTTCATCAGAACAGTCCAAAAAAACAGAGAAAGGAAATTCAGCGGAAAGCAAAATGATCTCACCAGGTCTCTGCCGACAAAATTCCCAAGAGCTGTTAGAGACTAAAACTCACTTATCAGAAACAGACGTCAGACAGGCAGCCAAGGCATGCCCCAGAAGTCCCGAGAGCAGGGAGAAGACTGCAGGCATCTCTCAAACAACTGTAGGAGATGCTCTTCTCACTAGGGTTGAGCCTTTAAATCCACCAATAAAAAATCAGGATAAATCAGGATAAATTACCTTCTTTAGATAAAAATATCCCTGGAATGTAGAGAAATTTCATAATCCTCACACAAGTCCTCATGTTTGCTCTTTTTGGTATCAATAATCTCAGAACATACAATTTACATAAATTGGAAAAAAGCAATTAAAATACACCCAAATTTTAAGAGTTGTCTCCAGTGAGTGATAGATTGAGACATTATTGCTATGTCACATTACTTACAATAAAACACAATGTTGTCTGACACAAAAATGAACATAATTAACAAATATAAGAAAAGTTTTAGAAGAGAGGCCCTATTAGACAGTCATGAATTGCAGCTCTGGAATCAAACAAACTGGAGTTGGAATGTTGGCTTCACTTCATACAAGCCATGTGACCTTGGTGTTATTTGACTTCTCTAGACCTATAAAATTAGGAAAATAGCAACTTTATAGGAAAACAGCAAGATTATTGACCATGAGATTATGCATATTGATCAATCAGTTATCAATGTAATCACATCATCACTATTGGTATAATTAAATTTCAATTTAAGGATAATGTTCCTTTATAAATTTAAATTTTTCATCTTATTCTAAAACTTAGAATCCCTCCATATATAATCAAAAGTGTGAAAATCGAAAAACATTTCTGCCAGTGCAAGATGCAAGATGCACAAACACACACACTTAATTCAAAGACATAGGGATACTTAGAATATTAAAATATTTTCTAAATTTTTTTCTATTTTACTTAGATCATTTCTAGCACTAACTCAACCTTTGCTTTTTGAGTAAGTTTGGTAAGAAGTAATTGCACCAGTTATTCTAATTTTGTATATTTGGTGTGCTACAATGTGTCCAATATAAGATACATTATATTACATCCAAGTAGAAATGGATGGAGTATTCCTTTGCTGTAAAGAGTATTTACGAATTTCCATGGGAATACTCATATATCAGTTGCTCACTATTATCTGCAGCATTGATAAGACTACAGCTAAGAAACTTAAATAGACTGCAAAAGAACAAATGTCATTACTATATATATTTGTGTGTTGGGAACTTTTAGTTCTTACAACACGGCAGATTAAGGCTAATAGTGAACCCTTTGCATTACAAACACCTTGAAAGGCTGAATAAGATGGAACACCAAACAAATATACAGCCAAGCTCACAAAACAGAAAAACCCTCATATTTCAAAATAGGGAACTTGTTTATTTGTGTATCAATGTATATCTTGAAGCTCTTTCCTTGTCAACTCCCTCATTATTTTAATAGCTTCATAGTCCTCCACAGTTTGGATGTGTTACTATATAATAGGAGCAATAAGAATGCAAGTTTTGGTGAGGGTGGGGAAGGGAAAGGTGGTTAGCAGATTTGGAAAGAGGTCTTAAAGGCGAGGGACTTGAATTCTAATCCATATTGGAACAGAGATGGACTCTTACAGACTCTGAAGTAGAAAGATAGAATTGAAACCTACATAAAGCTAGAACTCTGGAAAGGCTAGCCTGTTGGTACAAGGCAGACTCCTCTCCACTCATACACCCAGAAAACAGCAAGAAAGTTGGCCTCTTCCTGGAGCTATAGATAGTGAATAAACTTTTTGTGAGAAAGTAGAACCCTAAGCTTGTGCCACACTATGGTTTGGAATATGAATTTACAGGCAGGACTTCTCATAGGACTCAAAATTAACACAAAAATCACTGCTCGTGATAACTCTGCAGTGCCTGACAAAAGCAAATACAACCCCTCATTCCAGAGATATTTTCATGATCTCAAGAAAAAAATAATCCTGGCTAAAGATAGGTCACAAACAAAAATCACAAATTACACAAAGAAGAAAACCAGACTGAGAGTCTGCAGTACAAAGAATGATTGAAACTTTAAAACTGGAGATAATAAAATTAAAACACTTTCAATTTCAAGATTCTTGTTTTTATTCTACTGTAGAAAATTATATCATGTTGCTTTTTTCTGTTATTTCCATACCCTTCCATTCTCTCTATGTCTCCTCTCCTTCCAGAACAGCTACTAGCTGAATGTTGGGACATTTGGATCTATCTTCTATCCTCAACTTTTCTCTCATCTTCTTTCTTATGGTACTTTATCACTAAGTAATGATAAGAATCCTGTTGATACTAACTTTCTTCTAGCTAATTTGCTATTCAGCCATGTCCATTGTTATGCCAGACCATTTATTGAAACTTAAAGGACCCTTTATGGAACTCAGTATTTTATTTTTAATGTCCAAGATCTATACATGCTTCCTCAATACTCTTCCTATATAGGAAGACTCTTCCTATATTATAGATATGATAGCCCCTCTTCTCCCTATTAGAATGTTATAGTTATGCTTAAAAATTTTTGTTTGCTTTCTTCTATTAGTATTGTATTTTTTTCTCAAATGCTTGGTGAATCAAAATTATACTCTTTGATTATAAGATATCCAGATCATCATCAATATAAACCATTTCTGTTTACTATAACTTGACTTTTAGACAAGGTCATAATATGTAGACAGATAGGATCTGAGAATGATCTGATGGGCTCTTTGATCCACCTAGGGGTCAGTAGAAGCTACTTAGGCATTGTCCTGCTTCTCCAGCCCCAGTGTATGATTCAGTTCATGACACAGCTGCCCATTGCTTAACACAAGCAGAACAGGGGAGGGTTGACTGATTTGCAGTTCCCTAATTCTTCAAGTTGACAAATGCCCCGGGGCCTTCTCCAACTGTTCATATCCATCCACTCTAGGATTGTAGTTCTATTGGATCTACCTCCAGGTCATCTCCATACATAGGTTGGGCTTTTGTTTCCTTTAGTTTTGTTCCTTTAAACATTTCTTCTCTGGCAATAGCTTTCAGAATTTATTAAAAAATGTTTTTTTCTGATCATAAAATTCCCTGTTTTCCAATTCTTTTAAAATGGATTTTATTGTCTATATTTATCTACATGCACATTTTTATGGACTTCAGGAGACAGTAAGCAGCAGATGTGTATGATCAGTCTGCCATCTTGAGTTAATCTCTGATTTCCTTTTTAAATCATTTGCAAACTTAGTACTGTAACCATTAGTAAATAACAAATTCTCTGCAACAGACCTCATAACATCCTCAGTGACAAACATCACTGAGGATTGACACAGTCCTTCTGCTCTAGAGAGACTATATTGTACTGAGAGGCAGAAGAGCTGGGGTCAAATAGCCCAGTTAGTGGGGCTCCTACCATAGGCTAAGTTGGTGCTCAATCTTTTCAAATATAAGGACATTTTTTCTGTATTAAAAAAAAGCTTATGGTTCCTCACAAAATATTAATTGAACTTTTAGAATCCATTGTTTGAGAAAATGCATAATAAAATGCAATGATGATTTCCAGGTTTAAGTCTCTGTTACATGCTAAGGGTGTGTCTCTCCAAAATGAATTCCATAGTCTATTAAAGTCATAACCGCCTGTCAGTACAAATAGTGCTCTTAAATTTCACGACAATATTTGAATGCTTCCAAGTAGTTCCCTCATTGTTTCTGTAGAATGATAGCCTTTACCAGGATATAGGATTTTCTTTTAAATTATAAAAAAAGAAACCCCAAAACAAAACAAAACAAAACCAGGATCCTGCATATAACTTAATATTTTAAAAATACCTTAATGAATGTGGTAATGGCTTTTAACCCCAACATTGCTATTAATGATAGCATAAATTTGTATAATGTGCATTAAGTGTTAAAGAATTTTCAATCTATTATCTTATGGGACTCTGATAATAATCCTAGGAAGCAGGGAAAATAATATTTCAATTTTACAGCTACTAATAGGCTCGGAGAACATAAGTCTGCAGTTAGCAAAGAACAAAGCTGGGACTAGAACCTAAGTTTCTCAGTGCCCGCTCCATTAATTCCCAGATGTCAACCCACAAGGCAATGGTAGCTCATTATAAATGAAAAAATGATAGTGTAAGAAATATCAAGGCAAATAATTTCAACACTTTTATTGAGAGACTGTGACTTAACTGATTTGGGGGATTTAATGCTCTTTGTTAGTTCTTTAGCACTATGGTGGACTCAGTTGATGTAGGAAGCACCCATCATTCCTAACACAGATAAATGTTGGATAAAATAAAACAAAAATATTTGAAATACACAACCAAGCACTAAAACAAGAAATTAGAGTCCTCAGGTGCCAGAAACAGAGAGAACGTGAAAAAGCAGCAAGCAAGAAGTTGAGACTAAATAAGCAACTGGAGAATTGGAATGAGAAGATGAACTTAGGAGCTGGGATTTTTTTGTTTTTTTTACATTTTTTTTTTATTTCGGCATATTATGGGGGTACAAATTTTAAGGTTTCAATAAATGCCCTTCCCCCCCAACTCTGAGTTTCCAGCATGACCATCCCCCAGATGGTGCACATCTCTCTCATTATGTATGTATATACCCGCCTCCCTCCCCCCGGCCCAATACCCTATTACTGTAGTACCTATGTGTCCACTTAGGTGCTGCTCAGTTAATACCAGTTTGCTGGTAAGTATATGTGGTGCTTATTTTTCCATTCTTGGGATACTTCACTTAGGAGCTGGGATTTTAATGCCTGAGCTGGAGTGGGAGTGAAGGCCCCATAGGCAGTGGGGTTGGAGATGAGCAAAGAGCCAAGATCCTAGAAGAGCTTTGCTGCTATGAAAAGAATTTTGAACTATATCCTCCCATTAACTTGGGACTTAGAGGGGGAAGCTGACTGATTACCACCCAGATGGCCCTCATACCAAACTGAGCTATGCACAGGAGTAGGGTCCAAATGTGCATTCATGAGTAGTGTGGGAAACCCAAACCAAGAAAGCAATGCAAAAACTGGTTTGAACAAGGGAAACTTGAAGGAACCCTGGTAAAGACAAATATGAAATTTGCCCCATAGTGACAATAATCCTGCATGCATGAGACACCATGGAAAGAAATCCTGAAGACATCCCAAGATGTCGTGGTCAAAAACAAAAAACAAAACAAAACACAAGAGGCAAGAACAAAAACTTCCAGGGAAGAGAGTTAGCAGAATTCATACACCAAGAATTACAGACAATAAACAGCCTCTAAAGAAAGTATGCTTTGAAAGACTCAAGACAAAAAAGAACAAAACTATACAGAAAAAACAGAACACCATAAAAAATAGATACACTGGGTATAAAAGGCTATGGAAATTTTATAAATAAGAATATATCATTTTTTTAAAACTTAGACTAAACATAGCTTAAGAGAAAATCAGTAAGTTTGAAAATAAGGCTGAAGAAACTTCATAGAATAAAACACAAAAAGATGTTTTTTAATATTGAAACAGAGAAAAGAATGTCACTAAGAGTTCCAGAAGGCTATAATAGAGGGATCATGAGAGAGAAAATATGAAATAAAAAGGATAAAGTCTACTATTTGCTCCCCAGTAGGCAGTCACCCCCTCTGCCTTATTAACAGAATCACGTATTTTTAGCTGGAAGTTTGGCTGATCAGAATAAAGACAGTATTTCCCAGCTTCCCTTGCAGCTGGGCTGACTGTAGGATTGTGTTGTGGGGTATAACCAGAACAGCATGTGCAACTTCCAGAAATGTTTTTGAAGAGAGGTGCTTCTCTGCAACTTTTTCTTCCTAGTAGCTGGAATGCAGATGTGATAGTTTAAGATTTTAGCTATCTTGCTGAAAATAGAGGAACAATAAAATATAAGGGTTTTTGAGCCCCTGACATTATCAAACACCACCTGGATGCCTAATTGGTGTGAGAAATAAACTTTTGTCTTATATAAACCACTCTGATTTTGTGTTGTTGTTGTTTTTTAATTACTTGTAGCAGATTCTACTCCTAACTTATACAATGACCGAGAATTTTCTAGGATTAAAGAAAGATGTGAATCTTCGATTTGAAGCAGCAAACTGAATTTTGAACTAGAAAAATGAAATTAAATTCACATACAGACACACAATAGTAAAACCACAGAATATGAAATGTAAAGAGAAAAACTTAAAAACAGAGATAAAAGAGACAACCTATAAAGGAAAGACAATTATGTCAGTAGACTTTTCATCTACAACAATAGATGCAAGGAAACAATGGAGTCAAAAGTGGTAAAAGCAATTATGATCAACACAAAATTCAATGCTAAGCTATAATTCAAGAAGGAGTATAAAATATGGACTTTTCCAGACATACACAGATTAATAATAGCAAGCACTTATATAATACAGTTGTATACAGCATTGGTCTAAGTGCTATATATATTTTAATTTAGTAATCCCACAACAACCCTCTGAGGTAGATAATGTAACCATCTTAGAGATGATGAAACAAAGATACTGGGAGGTTAATTAACTTTCCCATGGTCACCCAGCTAGACTCCCTGGAAATCATTATGTTACACTGTCTCCATGACTAATGGAGTTAGCTGCCCACAGATCTCCACTGAAATAACCACTAAAAGATGTCATTTAAAAGACTGATATTAAATCTAGACAGAAAAAATAGGATGTAAGCAGAAAAGGAAGGCAAATAAATCATACAAATTAACCTATGTATTAACTACAAAAATGTTCTTTCATGAAATGATTCTGGTAACAGAAAAAATCTAGGAGATTTTTTCCCTTATAGTGTCTTTGTTTGGCAAAAGAAAATATTTGACAACTCTATGTCAATTCTCTGCCAAAATTTGGTAATTTTCCTGGTCTGTGAAATCCCAAAGTCTGGAAACTACCGGTTGGATCTATTGTGCAACAA